AAAATGTAACTTGGTTGATTCTTCTTGATATCTCAGCATTTGTCATAAAATTGACCACAATATCTTTCTGAACCACCTGAGAGGAGAATATAGGATACAACTTTTAGTGCTTCAGTTCTTATCCCTGAGGAGAATTTCAGGAAATATTGCCTAGAGACTATTGCTTCTCAAAGTGGAGACTATTATATCACATTTCCTAGGCCTCTATGTTGTTTCTACTGTTTCTCTTGTTTCTACTGTTTCTATTGTTTCTACCAGGTGGTGCAGTAGTTGAAGTGTCGTATTGTAGACAAACTCTGCCCACAGCCTGGAGTTCGATCCTGACTGGGCTCAGTGTTGATTCAGCCTTCCATTCTTTTGAGGTTGGTAAAATGAGGACCCAGACTGTTGGGGGGGGGAATATGCAAATATTGATTACATTGTAAAATGCCCAGAGATGTAAAGAACTGTGAGGCGGTATATAAGCCTAAATGCTATTGCTATTTCTTTTTAATATCTAATGAAATTGCTATATACATGCTGATGATAGTCAGATCTACTTTTCCTGTGATCTCCAGAAATGATTTGGCTCCACTGAATATCTGCCTATAGTCAATAATGAGATGGATGAGGGGCAGCACAATACATAGTACTCATTATGATGTGCTGTCATTTCAGAGGGAGGGTAGATCAGCCTATCCTCAATGGGATTGCATTCTCCCAAAAGGAACAGTTTGAGGATACATTTAGACTTTAATTTCTGGCTCCCAAATTGGGAAGGCCAGGAACACTTTTATCGGAGGAGGAGGAGGAAAATTCTGTATGGGGTTAACTCACTTGGCAGCCTGACCTTTAAGATTCAAGAAGTTTGTTTCATGAAATATTCTAAGTTTTACATAGTCCTACAGATCAGTAGGAAGGTTAATCTACTCTATTCTTTCTAACAGATTGGTGATAGACAAAGTTTGAATAGTCAATTTGTTCAGCATGTATTTCCAACATTTAAATACCTGAAGAAGGCCAAAGACTCTTTATCTAACCCCATTGTGATTCAGATGAAAATGAAGAAATGTAATTGCAATCTGAATTCTGCAGTTAGGAATTCTATATTTTCATCTAAAAGTAATATTTTCAAAATCAGTAATAAAGTAATTTTGTTAATCAGTTCATCCTAGCTTGGGTGAATGACTCCTTTCATTTGCAATCTGAAATGCCACTCTTTATTTGGATTCCACCACAGCAGCAATATGCAATGAACCCCAATGTGACCCATTTGGAAGATGATGAATTTATAATCTAGCACTATTGAACAATCACAGCTTGCCCATTGATTCTCTAATTTTTTCAGTAACATGATGTGAATGCTATTTATACCTATTTTGGCCAAGTATAAGCAACTGTATCAGAGTTTATTTTAATTTAATTATCTAGCTGAAACAGAAATTGTAACATTTCACAAGCAATTTTCTTCCATACTTTGCAAATAATGCTTTTTTTTTTAAAAGAAAGATTAGGCAATATAAACACAGATTTTAAATGGCTCTGTTTTGATTTAAGAAACACAGAATCGGCAAAGGTGTTTGTCTTCACATTTTATTCACACCTCAAGCACACTTATTTATTTCAGCATCTTTGCAGAGTCAATTTACATTTCTCATGCAAAAATGCATTCTTCAAAAACCCATCATCTTATGCTTCATTAGAGAATGGAGGGGTATATATTATCAGTTCATAAATAATGAATCCATTTTAACTGCTTCATTAAAGAGGCATTTCACCAAGGGGCAATCCTAAGTATGCTACTGAATATGGACTTAATGGGGAACTGTAGTTGAATACTGATGTGTGTGTGTGTCTATACATACTCACGGATACATACATAGATACATACATACACACACGTGTGTGTGTGTATATACATCTATACATACATACACACATCATTATTCAGCTACATAATTTTTTATGCAACAAGAAAATTACTTTGATGATATTCACAAAAGAATGATTACATAGTAAACAGAGATCAGATCATAATATGTGTCTAACGCCACTGTTGTAATATCATTGACAGTAAGCTTAACCTCCAATTATAAAAATAAATTGGGTGGAAAAATATTATTCTTTTTAGCTGATACAGTGTCTTGGTAGCCATACCAATCATAATTGATATGGTGTATTTAGGCACACTCTGTGCACAATCCACACTTAAGGACCAAAGCACAGTGGTAGGTTATTTTGGCTCTTTTTTTCCCCTTCTGATTTAGCTCTTCTGTTACACAGAGTACTTTGTAAACCAACTTATATTTGCAAAACAACAACAATAAAAACCTAGAAGTACAATTAAAATAATATCTTAACTGAATTATACTCTTCCTTCCTCTCCAATACTCCAGGCAGTTTTCCCAGTCTGGTATTCTTCAGAGATGTCCTGGACTTCAGTTCTCATAATCACTAGTTAATATTATTGAGAACGAGATATTTGAGAAATCTGTCTTAAAGAGATGCTATCAGGTAGATTAAATTTGGAATGTTTTCTTTCCCCCTCTCCTCTATATTCTTTTCTAAGTATGTATCCTCATTAAAATGTTCGTATTTTAATTTTGGTATCTTCTCTATTCCAAGACAGATAAATAATTTAATTATTAGCACAATCTTGTGTATACCTTCTGAAAAATAAACACCATATAGCTTACCTGGTCTAACAAGGTTAGGGCTGCAGTCTTATTAACAGAAGATAGAGTGCAATGTTGTCTCACACCATTTAGAGGAAGAAAATACTGAGTAATAGTCATGAACTTTTCAAGAAGAATTAGGAGTTCTGGGAATTGAGGGACACCATAGTTCCATTAAGACAGATTTCCTTGACCTGTAGTCAACAATGAGATCAGGGCCCACACAGGATGCTTTCTTAGCATTATCAACCAGAGACCCATTTCTTGTCTTCAGAATTTCATGTACAAAATTATGAAACTGCAACTTGTAAATCAGGCATTGCTGAAGCATTTGATTGGCTGATTGAAGGAAAGCGCTTCTGAGAGTTCTGTCTACAAATAGTATGAAGTTTGAACATGGTGCTGGATATATTAAAAACAAATTGTAGTCCCTGAGGGACTACTGGATGATAGCCTTATATTGTAGCAGTATAGACAAACAACCAAAGAAGAAGAAATATATCTTGATCACCACCAAAGGGGGAGTAGATAGGTCACATTAGATTTCATAAGACTGAAACTGGGGACAGTAAATTAATGTGGTTCATAATGACAAATGTTGGACAGCTACACTGCCAATTTCTAGGTGTTCATTATTGTTTGTGGGAAATTCTAGAATTTTAAATGTTAAATCTCAACCTTGCAATCCCCTGGCAACATCATTGGTCTCTCTCTAGCAAAACTAATAAGGAATCTCAGTGGATTCCATTGGGAGCCAATTTGGATGATTTGCTCCTTTATTAAAGCACCATAGAATAACCATCTGCAGAAAGTCCAGCTCACTTTTGCCTTCCTGAGGGAGGATGGGAATTGTGGCAAGAAATAACTCAACTCCTTAAATGTATGAAATGGCAAAGGATTTGGCCTTTGTTTTTTAAACTGTAAAACTAACTCCAATGCTCCTATCAGTGCTCAGGTTTTTGCAGAAAATGTCAATTTCTCCCTCACTTCCTGAAATAGCTAATGCCTACGCAAAAATGTGGGAAAAAATGGAAAAATCTCTTACATTAAAAACTCTGGCTATGCTTTGGCAACTTCCTTCCTTGATGTTTATAACTGCTCAAGAATCCTCTGTACATATACCTCGTCATTCCTGGTAACTAGGAAGGAACAGATCAAATTCTGCTCCATTCTAGTTATGTGCTTGCATTTAGAGGCAGAGTTCTGGACCAACACATTTTTATAGGACTTTTTAATCTTGCTCATTCACACTCATTCTTAATTTGAAGAAATATTTGCCCATACTACGTCTTGGATGGATGGACTACTCAGCCACACCATTTCAGCCAAGAGTCTATAAAAAAAGTAACATGTAATCACTTAACCCAGTCTAGGATGACTCAATGCTTACAAATAGAAGATTACATATGGTTTATTTTTTAGTTTTACCAAGCCAAGGATTTCAGTCTGTCAGTTGGAATAAATAGAGATGAAAAACTATATTTTCAGATGCCAACAATAAAAGGTATAGATTTTAAAATGTCAGTGCATTCAGTCAATTAAGTAATGACATTTGGAAGTATCAGACTGATACCAAGTAAGCAGCCTTTATCCCTAAGCAAATTATTGGTTTATCTATCCTAAAAATAGCCAATTCTGATTGTGTAGAAGAATTGTGTATATGCGTAGTGGTCATGTACATCCCTCTGCGAAAAACAGATATGATAGACCAAGTCCATGTGCCAAGATCAGCATATTACTGTAGAGAAAGATGATAATACAGACTACATCCTTTTGCCATTCTCTTATTAATCTTTGATGAACTGATGGGTGATTCTACAAGACTAAGATCACCATGCTGCCATACTTGCAATAAGCTAGACTATAATTATGAGATGGTTCAGTAAAATTTATTATATTTCTCGCAGTTTTCCTACCTCCAACTACTCGGTCAGGTAGAATTTAACTTTTTTTTAATTGCAAAAAAAGTGAATAGCAAATTAATGATAGTCCCTAGGCAGGTTAACACATTTCAAACTATGAAATAATATCAAGACAAAGCAATATCTGTCTAAAATTATTTCTCATAATGTGAACAAGCAGATTTAGTTAAGTGTGAAAGTAAAACAAGCTTAAAATAATGCCAAAAGAGATGCATGGTTTGTGCATGAAACCTCACAGAATTGCCACCTCGTTTTAAATAATGAAATAAACCTTTGGAAACATTGTTATACCAGCCTATTTTTCCAAGGACATAAAGTAGGCAGGGACATACCTTTCCATACATTACAAATATAAACCATCAATTTTAACTTAGTAATCCATAGCACTACTATACTGCAGGGAATACCAATTACAACCACTTACTCATTTCTCTCCAGACTGATGACAAGTTGTTCACTTTCAGCTTGTATAAGAAATTTCAGCATTGCTGGGTGAGTCTGAAAAATGAAATGGAAGAATACAAGAAGTCAATACAACAAAAGAATCTCTGCAACAAGTATAAAAGTTGTAAAATTGGGATAGAAAAACAGGAGAATGGAATTCAGAGACAACAAAGAAATTTTTGAATTGAAACAACAATCTAAAAAAATTCATTTAACTTGACAATTAAATTTATGTTAGGCAACTACAGGAATCTTTAAATATGTTAAAGGTACTGATTTAGCACTTTGAAGAGATATTTGGTTAAGTGCTTGAATTGTCAGTCTTTATTCTGCTATAGACTTATGTATGAGTTTGTACTCAAGAACAGGAAATCTGTTCTTAATTAAAATCTTTCCCAAGTGGGATAGTGAATATATACATATATACATACACATATATACAAATACTAAGAATTTAACATGATAGATATCTAGAGGAAAAAATACCATTGTATAAATATGACCTCTGGTCCCAAAATAACATAAAATTCATATTTCATTATGAAATGTAGACCCTTTTCCCATAGGTAGGTCATGCAAACATTAAATGCTCTAGCAACTTCTGATTTGCCCAGCTTATGCATAATGATATGCAACATTTTTTAACCGTGAATAAGAACTCTCCATTCTCTTTTTCCATTAATTTATCTAGAAATATTTGCCTCTTCCTTCAGGACAGTCCTTCTGTAATGTCAGGACCAGTTAATATTTTCCTCATGCTATTCCTTTCCATTTCATTCACATTATTCATGAGTTTAGTCATAAAATATTTCAATCACATGCTTCATTTTAGAAGCTACTGCACATAAAATTAACAAGACTTCTTATTTGCTCATAGTTCTATCCACCTCTGCCTAAGAATGGTAGAATGCAATCATTGTATAACAGCTTTTAATATTTTCTCAGTAGATGTTACGCTATGGCTAACATACTCAATTACTGATGTATTACCAAAAGAAGAGAATATTTGTAACCCAGGATTGAACTGTCAGGTTCTTAATGCTCTCTAAACTTGGTTGTTTTCTGGCAGATGTTTTATTGCCCATCTAAGTGATATCACCAGTGATGTACTCTCCAGAGTGGTGTTTCTTCAACCTTGGCAACTTTAAGGTGTAATCTGGCTGGAGACTTCTGGATATTGAAATCTACACATCTTAAAGTTGCCAAGGTTGAGAAACACTGTTCTGGGTTTACTTCTGTTGATACTGGTTTTTGTCAGACAAAACATGGATTCTATGGGAGGAAGTAAGGCACCAGCTTGAATGTAGTGGGAAAATAGTTTTGTGTTTACTCTGGTGGTAGAAGAGGCATCAGTACAGTGTGGTGTGGATTGCTCAGTTTTAAACTAGCCTAAATTTCAATGTAATTTGACAAATCATAGTGGGACAAAAAGTCAAAAATCAAGGCTGATATAGATTGTTTATTTCCAAAGTCCTTTCATTATATAATGGTAAAGTCAGGACAAGGTTGTTCTTAGAATAATTTTGACCAAAAAAAAATCCATTTATGTTATTTCAATCCTCATCTTATAGAATTAAATTAACTAGAATAAGCTTATATGTTGGGCAAAGATACAAAGGCAACTTATTTTCAAAAACAAGGAGATCCCATACTAATTTGTCTGATTCTTTTGTTTTTCATAAATAAATCTTATAGGGAACATATATGAGAGAAAATTTCCCTAATGAACACCCAAGGTACTGAAAGCTCTTCTTTAATTTTTACTCTTTTATATGGACTAATAACTATATTTTTACTCCTCTATTCATGAGGCCTTCCTTAGTAACCTAGAATTTGGTTTAATAATTTTCCCATGACCTTTTCCATGTTCTATTGGATTATACATATTCCTTTTTAATGAAGCATGCACAAATGTTGGTCCTATGAGAGCTTTCACCCCCACATTTCAAAATGCTAAACAGCTTCAGTGTGGAAGAAAGCTCTCTGTTTGCACTCTGAGGTAAAATCTCTTCCCCTAGGACTGTGTGGGAAAAGACAGAAGGTTTTCTTACACCAGTCTGTTGTGGGATCTATGAAACTGTCAGTGGGAATAAGTTTGACAAAAAACAATTACAGGAAACAACATTTCCCATGAACTCACAGAAAGTATTTTTACAATATAGGAGGATTCCAGGTGACGCAGCCACACATGTACAAAAAGTCTCTGCTTTAAAAAAACCCACACATATACATATTCTAGAATTTATGCTCTGGAGATGACTATTTGATTTCTAAAGTTTATAAAATATTAGTTAGGATAAACTTGGAAGATGAATATGTTTCGATTGTATGGTAAAATGGTTACAATGTTGGTTATAATGTAATGTTAGATCAATGGGAAAATACATGAATTAATGTTTTAAAGTTTACTTTGAATTACGGTTTGAAAGAAATTTTTTATAACATGATGTATCAATGAGATTTGACTCCAAATAGATTGGCAAGAATGAATAATGGAACTTCCAACAAATTTAATTTAATCAAACTACAGGTACATTTATACTTTATTGTTGTCAAATGCAGGAAATCAAGGCAGTTCAAATGAATATAGATTGATTGTATGCTAATGCTCTCTACAAGAATCTGAAGTACTAACAGATAAAGCAAATCCTGCTGCTATGCTTTCCTACCTTTCAGTTCCAGAAAAAAGAATGCCAAATGGGCTGGTCTTTATGCATCTATACATTTGTGTGTTTAGGTAAATGTGTCCCTTTGTTTGAATTTATGTAGCCAATTAACATCTGAAATTTAGATGCAAAAAACTGAATAGTGTAGTCCTTCGGTTAACAGAGTGTAACAGAGAATATCAGCAACACAAATGGAGTACAATAATGGAAGTCATTTTGATGATGAACAGGGATGAATACAAGGTGGCACAGTCAACTCCTGCCCTCTAGAAATGGTTTCTTACCCATTCTGGTAGTGAGGATTAGCCCTTAGTCATCAAAATGTGAATCTAATTATGCCCTTTTTTTCTAAAAAAAAATTACACTACATTTTTAGTGTCCTAATATAAGGAAATATTAATTATCAATTATTTTATTGTGTATCTCTATCTTTGTATCATATTATATATCTATAATCAATTCCCTTTTTAGAACATGAACAGATAAGAGATTAAGTTTTCTTAATATATGAAATAAATAAGTAAAATATATTTCAAAGAAGTATAATTCCAAGTGAAATTTGGTCTCTATGCTTTATTGTTATAGAGCCCAAATTGTCCTTTTCATACACAAGAGTATAATAGCAACAGATTGAGGAAACTGCAATGTTTACAGTAATACGGAAAATCTTGTTTAATTAAATAAACAAACCGCTGAGGAGTCCGCATGCATGGAATAATTCAGACATTAACAGAAAGTACAATAAAAGACATATTTTGCAATTATTACAACCTCAGCATCAAAGCATAGCCTCTTATCTAAGAGCATTTCATGTAATTTTTATCTTTACCGTGGACAGTTAAACACTAAGCAACTATTACATTATATAAATGCAATTGTTTCTTATGGTAGAATGTAAATAACACCCACTGACAGATCACTAGAACTGAGAATTTAATTCTTCCATTTTCCATAAACACTATAAAAATAGATTCATCTCCAAACCAGATGTTTACATGCAGGATATATTTCAATGGGGAGAAAATTAACAAAGAATATCTAAGCATCAGACAAAAGTTTTCAGTTAGGAACTTGGCAAAGGGGGAAATTTAAATTCCTTTCTTTACTCTTTCACTTAAAATTTGATACATCCTTTTGGATTTTCTATTTACACTCTTGAAAATCAATCCATTAAATGTCATTCTAACTTCATCCCTAATTATTTCTAGATGAAAATAGGAGCAAAGTTTCAATATATAAACTTCAATAGTTTAACTTTATGGTGGATAGATAATTAAATGAAAGTATTAGCTACTTATAAAAGATTGCAACTTATTTGTATTATGATCTTAGAATGTCAAGTGTTGTCAACTTTATTCTATTAATTCAGCATATATTTAGAATTCTGATTATAATACAAGCTGAATTTAATTTAATCGAAGGACTATCAAGACTTTGCTTCTCTGGATTAAAACTCAATGTCAGGCATCTTCATGCACTGTTATTTGATTACTTGCTTAATTAACATATTTTTCTCTTCTTTATTTCAAGTCAAATCGCTATGACTCATTACATGGTTTTTACGCCAGGATCGCTTTAGAACCAATTTCAAACTCTTGTAGCATCTCTCTATAAAATGAGCTTCTGGTGACTTTTTTCCCCTTGGCTCATTGTAAGCCAGTCATTTTTGCATGCATGTTCCATTTTTTTGCAGGAGTTATGTGGAATTTAGGTCAAAGTTAAGAGCAAGCAGTTAACTTTTTCTCTTAAATTTTCCATTGTTTTTTGCAGAACTTTTGACAGTGATAAATAGAATAAGTAAAAAGCCAGATATATTGCTGTTCATGTTTTTTAAAAATGAAAGTGAAATTTTACCTCTCATCTCACCAGTATATTTTCGATAAAGCATGAATCTTTCAAAGACTGTGTTTCCAAGGGACACAATGTTTATACATTGAAGGATTATGTCTACTGGAAAGTCATTTCAAAATTATATAATAAAATACACATAAAAAGAGGATGAATTGGTGTAAAGATAGAAATGTCTACAATACATATTTTAAAAGTACATTTTAACATTGTTTGGGTAAAATAGAAATTCCAAGGCCATTATTGGAAAATCTTGTTATATAGAACAATAGGAAAATATTAACAATATTTTTTCAATTGTTAATCACCTGAAAATATTAAGTCTAATCTTTAAAAGGCAGATAGTTGGACTCGCATTTTGAGAACTACTATGTTTTGAGAGTTTTCACATCTAGAATAAAACAATATACAACCTTTATTGTAGAACTAATGTACCATGTAACTATCCAAAAGCTTAAATGTCCAGAAAACTTAATTTTAGTAGTAATAAATTTACAATTATAGTTGTACAACACAGGTATAGCTAAATATTTATAACGT